AAAAAAAAAAAATGAGACAATTTTTGTTGTTGAAAAATGTATTTTTTTTTTTTAGAGTGTCAAAAGAGTGAAAAAAAAACACGTGTAAAAAAATAAACTTTTCTGTAATTACAATACGGTGATGGATTGTTTTATCAATCATACAATTTATTTCACCCACGTAAGACACTTGATAAAAACTTCGTCTTTCTTGTTGGATTTATCCAGTAGCGCTGTTTAATGATGACGGTGACAAACTCTTCACTTCAAGTTCTCCATTTCTCTATCAGACAGTTGTCATACTTTGTTTGAGAAAATACAGCGACAACAAGGGTACCACTGTCGTTGTCACCGTCGTCGTCGATGTTATTTAATTCTACATTTTACAATTTCTTCCAATTTTATTACAGAAAAAAGCCTTCATTAAAACAGATATATTCAGATTCCAACTGCTTTTGCCAATTTTATGCCAACTTAATTAATTCTACAATTGCTAAGAATAAATTTTAATCGTATTTTGACGGTGTTTGACAGCGTCAACCGTATTTTTTTAGATGATGACGACCAAAGTGGATAATAGGGGAACTTTTACATTTGCGCAAACGTCGTTTAGATTAAACTATCGCTTCTGTCTTCAATTCATTGCTAATCATCTTCTCTTCTCCTCTTTTTCCCTATCTCCTTTTCACTTCCATCCCCTAATATCTTCTTGTTTGCCAAAATTGCGAAAAAAAAGATGTCAATGAAGTAAAAATCAGAAAATTTAATGCAAATATTTCGGATTTCTTAGAATAGTTATATTAGTTAGTTTTAATTCTTTGTGTCTTGTTTTCGTCAAATAAAGAAATTTTGTTTTCCTTTTGATATTTAGAGGCCATTAAGGAGTAAATATTTTCATACTGAAAAATAAAGAACTAAAATTTTCCAGTGGTATCTCAGAATCATTCTTAAGTAGTCACTAAGTGGTAAATGTGACAGCAAAAAAAAAGGAGAATATATAGTTTTGTAATCAATAGCTATAACTTCTGATATTCACCTTTGGTACTTGTCAACGACGATTCATTAGATTTGTTTCCTTAATATTTTTCTATGTTTCAGTTCACTCATATCACTTAGTCTGTAAGCGAACGTCTGTACATTAAATTTTTTTGTGCTCAACTACACTTATACACTACTGAAAAAGAAGAACAAAAAGAAGAACTCTGCAAAAATTGCTGTCAAAAAAAAACGTGTAAAAAGTTCTGGAAGGCTAAACAACTGAGTATTTTGGTTACTCAGGAAATAAACTGCCGAATTGGAGACGATAAAAAGTGAAAAAAGAAAAAAACAGGTATAAAAATAATTGAAATCGATGGTACTGAAGCTGTACCAAGTCTGCAGAACTGCTGTATCAGATATTTCCGTAACAGCATAGAACATTTACCAACCAGTTTGAAAATTAAAATTCGACAAAAACGCAAGTGTTTTTTTGTCGTCTAGTAAGTTATCAATTTATCAAACAATTGAACTAGTTTTTAAGCAAAAAAAAATAAATCTTAAAACAATAGGAGAAAGCAATGGTAATTTTTTTTTGCTGCTTTAAGGAACAAAAAGCTGTTATTTGTAAAGATGAAAATGCTATGTTTTTATTGATAAGAGTCACCTAAACATCAATCATCTTCAGTTTGCAAATCAGTGATTAAATTTTAGAAAAGACGAAAAAAAAGTCTAAAAGAAAACTTGATAAAATAAAGCTTTTATTGTCATTTAAAAAATTTGCTGTTTACTAGTATTTGATGGTTTTCAGAAAACATCTTACAAAGTTATTTGCCAATAGTATAGTCCAAAACAATCTCTTTTTTTCAGCACTGCAAATTTATATGGCAATAACATTTCAAGAAAAAAGTTACCTTAAATTTTGCAGTCAAAAATTAAAGCTCTCAATCTTTCCACTTAATTTTCACAAAACTCCAATGACCTTACCATGACAGTTTACCAAAAAATCTCATTGAGTTCATTCCATTTTGAGGTTTTTTTGGAGCAGTAAACTACTGATCGAAACAATAATTTGCCTGTTGTAACAACTGCCACCAGTTTTTTCTTCATGTCTTCTCCGCATTTAAAGATGTTGCTAGTTTTAACTGATCGTTAATACCACACTTTTCTTTATCCCAAAAACATGTAAATTCAGTAGTCTGAAATTCTTCACTATATTTTTGCAATTAAACGTTTTTTTTGGTCACAAATAAATCAAAAAAAAAGTAACAGAAATGTTTATAATCAATACATAAGGCCACCGTTTTATTTTGCTCTTTAGGGACTTTTTTTTATCGTTTTTTTTTTAACTGAATTAATGAAACTTTACAATGACTTAATAAATACGTCAACAAGCAAACAGATTCCTCCAAATATTTTAATTTTAGCAAAGATAACTGCAGTTTTTGGGAGGACACAAATTTTGCACAATTCAGTTACAGCAATCTTTTGAAAATGAACATCGACTCTTCCCTCACTTGGCTTTATGGAGTCTTTGTAAAGGAGCCGATACAATCTTAGCGCCAAACCTCTGAAAAACCCCTTTACTGAAATCCCAAACTAAGAAGATTTTATAAAAATTTACAAACAAAAATTTATAAACAAATAAATTTAGATCTAAAAAGCACACAAAACAACAACTGTGGTACGCTAATTTGTAAAGAAAAAAACATTGAAATAAGGTGAGTTGTACCAAATAATGCAAAAACAAAATAACCAATTCCCGACCACATAAAGAAAATGAAGACAAGTTGTTTGCCAACTTTGCCATCAAACCAATGCTTTTTCTGCTATTATCATTTTACCGACCCAGTCTTCGTTAATACAAACCAGAACCAATTTCCAGTATTCAATGTTACTTTCCAACTGTAATCTTATTAAAGACAGTCTTATTTTTTACTTTATTCGATTGTAAAATATACCCCAAGTACAAAAATTTAGTTTTCAGAATAAATTTTTCACTTCTCACTTTTTTTTTGAAGGAAGTAGAGTGAAGCAAGTAGTGTCCAGGCGGTAGTAATAATGCTTGTTGCCGGAAATTTTTTTCGCACCAGCTTCTAGTATTATTGCCTAACATTTATACCTCAGTGGTCTCAAATGAATAAATGGTCGCCGGTTCGGGCGAGATAAATTTAAAAACAACTTAAAATGCATACAGATTCTAGAAACTTGTTATGTCAGATTAAAAGCGCTATACACTAAGGAAAAAAGGTGGTGACTAACAAAACTGAAAATATCAAAGAACCGTTTTCTGACGAAATACCGAGCAGAATGTTTCGAAATGAAGCTTAAAATGGAAAAAAAGCAGTGTCTCACAAATTGGGACTACTTTATTTGAGCTGCTAAAATTAATTTTAACAATGTTCTAATTTCATTGCTGACGGAACAACGAAAACAGATATCCCATGAAGAACACCAACTTTTGACGACACCACTCTGGACATTAACTTGCTTAACAAATTTGCACATTTAAAGGAGCTTTTTTTGGCTTTAGAAAGGCTCTATTTGTTTTTGGCTCTATTTGCATAAGGTAGTTGACAGTAACCTGTCCTTACTTAAACCTACAACGACTGTTCACTGCTCCAACGAACTATTTGTTGTTAAGAAACAATTATAAACAGCAAATAAATATTGTGGCCAAAAATGCTGAATTTTTTTCTGCCTACATCTTCCTCCTGTTATTCTCTGTGTAGGAAAGTCAAAGAATTATATGCCCCTGAAGCCGAAAAAACGAAGTTTGAGAGGATGACAGAAGTCACCTTTTAATTCTTTGAATGTACAAGATCTTAGTGAACGAAAGCAAAGCAGGAAACCAGTGTAAAACCTTGAAGCTCTTCACTTTGAAAAATCAACTAAGATTCTTTCTTCGCAGCCGATTTGTTCTTTTCATTATGGAAAAGTTTGGACCAGCACTAGGGGTAGCAGCAGCACTCCAAGTCTGGCTAATTCTGCAGAGAAGATGAGGA